GGTGACGTGTGTGTGTATTTGAACTAGGGTGGGTTGGCCCCTCTAATGCCTCTAACTGCATACAAAACCTGAAGAACAGCAACTTGTTTTGCCCTGTGTGCCTGTGTGTGTGTGTGTGTGTGTGTGTGTGTGTGTGTGTGTGTGTGTGTGTGTGTGTGTGTAGAAAGATCCAGGCACATGAGGAGGGGGAGGAGGAGCAGGAGGAGGTGGAAAGGGAGGACACCAGCAATCATCGGCTGCTGCTTGACAGTCCGTGCTCAGTTGCTTAAGTCTAACATGAACCTCTGAGTCCATCTGCTCAGCAGTTTAGTCTCCACAATTAGCTCCTCCTCCTCTTCATCGCGTCTGCTGATCGTGCTGGGCAGGCGGGTGTAACAGTAGGAGGAGGGAGGGGGGGGGGAGAAGACATCCAAGGAGGTGAAAACAGGGTAAACATTCGGGCATGAGATCAACCGGCCCCAGCTGCCAGAGAGGTCCTCCGAGGCTTTCAGCCGTCCCTTCTACCCATAGTTCTCAGGGATGAAGCAGGGGACGTCTTTGATTGGTTGCTTTTCAGAACGACGATGATTAGAGGCCGGTTTGGTTTTCCAGTGGTTATTTCACGCAGAGCAGGCCGCCGACGTTGGCTACAAACTCCTCCAGGCTTTTGAGGAAGGCAACCTTCTGCTTGCGGTCCATGGTGGGTGGCGTGCTGCTGGCTGTCAGCTTGTTGAAGGCGTCGGCTAACCGCTGGTAGATTATGGCGTCTCTCTGAGAGGACAGCAGGGTCTCCACCAGCTCCGAGTACTCCGCCTGACATGGAAAACCAATGTAGCATCAGATTAGTGTCAAACGAAGGCAAGGGTTAAAGCAGATAGTATTATCCCTCTTTCATTATAATACATTGAAAAATTGTTTTAATTTTATAATTTATATTGTTAAAAAGAAGAAAACATACACAAGATTCAATGTTCCAGTTTACAGTGTAATCCACTGCAGCATACACGTCATTGTCACATGTCGTTATCTCTGCTTGCAATTCTGTAAAATTTCCCAACTTTTAAATAAAGTATTCATTATTTTATAAAAATGAACACTAGTAGTTTGCAGAGGATTTAATGAGAAAAGAAGTGGAGGAGTTCAAGTATCTCGGGGTCTTGCTCATGAGTGATGGGAGAGGGGAGTAGGAGATCGACAGACGACGGACGCTGTACCGGTCCTTCGTGCTGAAGAGAGAACGGAGTGTAAAAGCGAAGCTCTCAATTTACCGG